GAACAAAAAAAAGGCGTGAGCGGCAAAAGAGGAGCTGCATTGTACCCGATTCTACTGTGAGCTTGTTTTTTCTCTTCAGCCATTGAGATCACTTCAATGGCTGAGATAGAGCCCCAAATAGAGGTTCGCAAAAAGATATTCTCACCTGAGCCGCTGGCTTACAGCCAATGCAAATTAGCTTTGGCCCGCTGCATATTTAGAAAAAGTGGTTGAAAGCCACGGAGCCTGATCACAGATAGTGGAACACGGCAAGGTGCTGAATCTGTAACTCATGAATTTTGAACACAAAACCCTAAACTCAAAGCTGCCATAAATTTTTGTTTTGTACTGTCAAGATTTCCCACTGGCATTGCCGAGGCTGCTTTTGACGCATTGAGTTAGCCCTGTCTTACTGAGAATGTTCTGCAACTTTTGCTTAAGTTTGAAAACGGGCATAGGGAACATCACATTAAAAGGATGAACAAACATCGAAAATAATTCGTGCAACTACGAGTACACTACGACAAGTTTCTCGTGTGCATTATGCAAGTTAGACTATATGGAAAGAGTGGTGTAGAATTGAATTGAAACTAGCTTGTTACGTTGTTTCTTTGCTTCGTCAGTGATTTTTAGTTAGTTGAGTCAAGTTAGGAGGTTTGCCTGCGGCTGTAGATAGATGAGAAAGAAGAATAGGCATCTTTGTATATATTTCTGTTTTTGTTTTAAATTTTGCCCTGCATTTTTTTAATATTTTATTTGCCAGAGTTTGATATTTTGTAAAATACTCTCTCTCTCTCTCTCTCTCTTGCGGGAGTATGAATATTATATTTTACTATTCATAAAAATAATTTTAGAAAGCTACAAAGATAGTCCCCATTCTTCCTCCAAGTTAAGCAAAACATCGATATTATGCCTTAGCACATGAAATATAGGCATTTGGCTAGTCTAGCCTCAAATGGTAGAAAACAAAATTCAGGGGCAAGTATTGCAAACATTTCTAAGCGCAAGGAAGAAAAACACAGAAAGAGAAGATTTTCTAACTCTATGCTAATTACTAATGTCAGTACAAGTAGTTGTAGGATGGATCACACTACTATTTGAGCTCAAATGCCAATAGGAGAACAAATAGAAGCAAAATCTTTCTGCTCTTTTGTTCGAAACGATTTTCCATCTTCATGCATTCAAGGGCCCATACCGATCATTTTCTTACCTTTGTTCTGCTTTCCATTTCCCTTCTTGTTCTCTCTAAACACATGGGCACCAGCGCTGCGGTCTCTAGATGGAGTTGCATGTAACAAATGCTTAACATCAAGTACACCATTTCTAAAGCGACCTTCACTTGCTTTCAGAACCCTGTTCTCAGGCCTTTGCTTCTCCATTGATCTTTTAGAACCACCACTGAAATTGCCACCAAAACGTCCAAGAACCATATTCTATGCAGATTGATTATTTAGTTAGTAAAAGTTGACCATGCTTCCCCATTCAACAAGGGCAACGGAAGAGAATAATCACCTGTTCCAGCAGTTTTTTCTCCCTTTCCTTTTGATTCTTCATTACCACTCTTGCTATACTTAGAGGAAGTCTCTGCTTCTTTGGAGGCTGTTTCAAGGGCAAGCACACATGAATATTTCTGGAAGACATGCAAATGAATATTTC